ATAGCCACTTCCCCATGCGGCCCATCAGAGGGGAAAGGGTATCTCCTTGCAAGCAGCCTGACTGATCTTCATTGTACCTGCTTCTTCTCAGTCCTACATGGTCCAATATTTACTCAAAAGGAAATGTTAAATAAATAAAAAATATCCTGAAAGTAATTTATTCTGTTTACCCAGAAGGCCATTTCTCCCATATCAATCATAGAAATAACCAAATTGTTCTGTTACTGGATTTGCTTCTGTCCTTCATCTGTACCTCTTTTCTTTTTTCTCTGATGGTGAAGTGTTGTGTTCTAGCTTCTTTTTTCTTCAAAACAGTGCCACATTTAAATGCCAAGAATCCTCAACTATATCCTGCATGCAATCTCTTCAGTGGGACAAAGACTTTTCTTTGGGGATTAATTTGTTCATATATCTTCATTTTAAAAGAGACAAGCAAAGCAGGCTTGCTTTTAAAATATTTTTATTTATCAAAGGACTCTAAAGTTAGGGGGTTTAGAAAGATACCGTGTCTTTCTAGTCCTTTACAAGCATGCAGTGGTATTTTCTAATATCAGAACTGAAGATAATAAAAGTAGATTTGGTGTCACTGAGTCACAGAAACAAAATCTTGCAATTCTGAATGTGCCTCCCCCCTCTCTGCACTTATCCTAAAAAGAACTAGGAAGGGTCCAATCTGAGATGCTTTCTCAAATTCCTACTTTTTGCTCAGATGTTTTTGTCTGACGTTTTCCTTGGCTTTGACTCTTCCTTCACTTCCTCAAGGTAATTCTCACAGCCCATTACCTCTGTCCAGATGGTAAATGCTTCCAAAGAGGCAGGCAAATGGATGCCCATACCTTCACTGTTATATTGCAACTGAATAAGGCAGCTGGATGTAGGATCCATACTCTCTGGATTAAAGATAGATCTTGAGATCATCTCATGTATTCCGGACAACTGTGTTGTTTTGTAAATCGATAGAAGCATATGTTTTTTCAACCACTTGCAATCATTGGGAAATAGGGATTTCATCCTGCTTTGAGCAATTAATGTAACCTTTTTAAAGAAGTTCGACTAATGCCTATCTTTTTTTAAACTTCGCGTTTAATTTCCTTTTTATTACCTCTTCAAGATTGAAAAACCTTCAGAACAATAAGCTTTGTAATCTCTGTTTAATATGTTTAAACAGAACAGAAATTACATGCTTCCAACTTTGTAAGATTTTGCAAAGTACTTTTGTAACATACAGCAAAAGGATGACTATACTGTTGTTTCTGGAAAGTTTTTAAATGCTAAGAACACGTATGAAATTGATTTGAAGAAAGATGTGGAAACTAACTAAAATATCCTCTGTGTGGGAAAGAATGTCTGTGTTTATAAATTGCTGATAAGAAGGTTTTGAAGATTAACTACTAGAAAGCAACAGATTACTACTTAAAGGAAATTTATGATCTGCGGACTGAAGAACTGTGAGCTGCTTAACCTTACTTTGCAACCAAAAAGTGTTGAAGAGAATCAAATTTCTTTGAATAAAATTGAAAAATATATTATAGAACAAAATAAAACTATAGCCTACAAGAAAGAAATGGAAATATTACATTTACAAATCGATCTGGAGATCTATTTAAAAAACAACAGTGGCACACAATAACATATCAAAAGTGTGGAAAAGCCAGAACCATATGAATGGATATAATATTTGACATGAGAAATTCTATTGCCCATTCAGGAATATTCTTCAGTTAGGGTCAACATAATTCATTGTGGGTTAGCCTTAGTATGTTGGTGACTGCATAGCAACTCTATGCTGATTTCTCTTTCAACTTTGCCCCAGGCACTGCCTCTCCTTCTCATACAGGGTGTGAACTACTTATTTAAATTGAAGTCTAAAAGATGTACTAGGAAGGCTACATTGAAACTGCAAGTAGACTTTAACAAAGGTGACAAGGACTATGAAAGAAGAGACAAACATAGCAGAAGAAAGCAGACATTAGAACTTTATGCATGGGATTTAAAGACTGCCAGGAGGAAGAAAAAATGCAAAACTGGTTTGTCTGCAATATCTAGGTTATTATTTTTAATATATAAATGTTATTCAAGTAATAGGTAACTATATTGAAATATTTAATTGGGTATAATAGGTTGGTTTGTAATAACTATGTGATTTGTATTTTTATTAGTCCTTTTACTATATGAATAAATGGTATTATTTGTGGTAATGTTGAATAGTTTTAATTTTTATAATGTTTAATTGTTGAAATTAGATTTAATTATTAAAGAGTAATTGGGGGAAATACATTTTTAGGGAGAAAGTGGGATTATATTATGTTTGTTAATTGTTTTTGTTAATTTTTACTGAATTTTTGCTGACTAACAAAACAAACAGAGGATTTAGAGATGAATTTATAGAAAATAGGATGACATGGAATAAAGATGTATTTGGTTGTGTTTTAAGTGACAGTGATAAGTTATTAATGTTGAATTTATTTACTGGCAATTTAAGGGAGAACTTTCTTATATATTTTTTACCCTGTCTCTTCTTTTCCCTGGGGGGCGGGAAGAGGGAGGCATCATTAATTTTTTATCTGTTTAATATAATACTTAATAAAATTATTGAAAGCAAATATGTCCAGATGAGTCAGCTGGGCTTCCCCATAAGTTATGGAGAATAAAAATGAATGTGCTTTGCACCTTCCTGGCCAAAGTTTAGAAACCCAGAATTTAAAGCTCATCGCCAGAGGGGTAAAGTAAAAACTTTCAGAGAAACAAATATTAATTCAATATATCTTACTATCTCAGCATGGAGTCAACCTGCTAAATGCTTTTCAGGATCCATGTAAAATATGAGTTTACTTTTGTAAGAGCTTTCTGATCTAAGACGTAATTCTTCAGTATATGACTTACACATGACAAATGCAAAGAAAGCATTGCTAGGGGTTAGCAAACCTCATCAGTTTTGTTTCATAAATAAGATGGGTCTTTCCAAGCCTATTTATTCAAAATATTTTTTTTTAAATCCATGTCTAGGGAAACTTTTCCAGCATGACAAGATCTTATCTGCCTTTCTTAAGCTTATAAAGTGGTAACTAAATAAGAAAAATCAGAAGCTGAAGAGTGATAAAATTTTAAGAGCGTCTCCATGTACCTGCATACAGTAAGCTTCTGAACATGCTCACTCAAGACTGATTATTATTTTGTTTGTACTTCTCTTGACAGTCATCATTCAAAACAGATAGAATTTATGGAGGGCATGCAATACTTGCTAAGCTTTTGATCTGTCAATTCCCATCCCTTCTAACTACTCTCCTAAGTAAAAATAGTAAGTTTTAAAAGGGAAGGGAAGGAGGAGCCTTGTAAAAGAGAAGATTTGAGATTGCGCCAATACTAGCTGTGCTGAAATTAAAAGGTATGTCAGTTCTTAAAGTCTCAGGAGTGTTTTGATCATTTCAATTCTCCCCACTCTTCTGAATGTGTCATTACGATGCATTAAAACTCTATGCAGGCAGTAATTGTATTAGTACAAATGTTTTTGTCAACCACCTGTCTTCTGTGAGATGCTTTTTCCCCTTCTGGTGCTGAACCTGCAGTGTAAGAAGCTTGTAGTTGCTCTGTAAGGATATTGAATATCTGAGTTATAAGTTTGATAGTTATGTTTTATTGCCTTAAACATTACTCACCATATTTTGAAGGTAGAGAAGAATTGTATTTTATAATACCCTTTAACATAAAGATTCCTTCATCTAAAGATTGTCCTGGGTCTGATGACTTGTCTTGAAAGGATTTTCAAAGACCCTTGATAGTCTTTTTCAAGAATTAGTTTTCACAATCAGTGAAAAACAGAATGATAATCACAAATGTGACCATTATAAAACCAGACCAGATAAAGACAGATCATCTAGCTCAGAAAAGGGGTCCAATTAGTCCATTATGTAGGATGGAGAGGAAAACAAAATGCAGAAGTGTTTGAATATTTTCTCTCTCTCTTGTTCTTCAACAGTTGCTGAAATTCTTTGATTATAGCTTTCTACTTCCTTCAACAAGTTTTACTTATCTGTAGATTCCTGGAGTTTGCCTCAGCTGTCCATTCCTTTCTGAATGATGAAGTCAAACACACTTCTTGAATCAATCGTCTCTCAAATGTTTTATGATTTTGAGTGTGTCAAGAATCAAACACAGGTCAACAGATGCATTATCAATTGAAATTTGATTACTTATATATTGATTAATTCAACATCTTCATATAAACTCTCTGTGAAAATAGGATTTGGGTTCTATAAAGAGTTGATCTCCTGATGACACCAGGACTAAGCTAAAATAGGCCAAGAGTACCCAAATATAATTAAACAATATATTGAAACAATTCATTTTTATTCAAATGTTCAAATTCAGTCCTTACAATTAAGTAAGAGCAGGATCCCTTGTTTCTTGTCTTCTATCTTTCTCCATCAAATATCTTACCCTTTGAGCATAATATGGGGAAACTACTTCAGAACTGTGTATTGAATACTACAGCATTCAAAAATACATGAATTAGGAAAAATGCACACGGAAAAATATAAATGACTGGGTGGATTTTGTTAAAAGAAGAATCTTTAAATGGTAGCTAAATATGACTTTTTAAGAAAGGAAAATTGAGAAAGAAAGAGTAGATTTGTCCAATGCTACATGAAGTTGCAATTAGGAATAGCATATTATATAAAATCTAAGCAACACTAATTGATTTCTGCATTTTAGCCCTTTAATACACAACTGCAACAATTGAACTACTTTCATTGTTTCATAGGCAAGTCCATGAAATCTCTAGACTCCAAGGAGAGTGCTGCTTTGAATTTTTTGCTGTGTAGTGATAATATAGATCTGATATTTTAAGCAGAATGCATCATGTAGTGGAGATTGGGGGGGGGGGTATTTCAGCCTCCCATAAAGATGCATATATACAAAGCATAGCATGGACAACTGGTATTATGACCCATATGTGGATGCATCATGACTTCACAATATATTCTCACAATATACAATATGTCCTTCTCACATTTCATTTCAGCAGCAATCTTACCTTTCAGCCTGTTGCCTTATATACTCTTTTATATTTGCTGTGTTTTGAGGAAGTACAAACTTGTACTATTTATCAAATAAGGCAATGATAAACAGATAAGATTAAAGCAAATGAAAATTCTATATTAATTCTTGCAACTTGTTGCTACTCAGCAAGAATGTTAACATTCTCATGCATTGCTGCTGAGAAAATTGATACTGAATTCAAAACACAGTTTATCAAGCATGGGATTCGCCAACCATGCATGTTTTATAGTGTTAAAAAGCAGAGAAAAAAGTATTAAAAATGATCCTAGATCCTAATTTCTATAATCTTTTGGGAAGGGGGATAATAACTGATAATAAAGTTTGACATTTTAATACATCACGTCTATTTCAAAAGTTTACTATACGCAGCACCAAAGACAAAGAATTTCTGTCATGTCTTCCAAATATATACATTTATTTATCACAATCCAAAGATTTTAAATATCACCCATCCCTTTTCTTTTGCCTCCCTAGGTGTAAGACCAATTAGTAAAGTTTTGGTATATAATCCACTCTTTTTATGTAAGCAAAATGATTCACTATCAGAACTTTCTTCAAATGGGTTATAGCAGGGTTGTCAAACTCCTAGTCCATGGGCCAGATGCGTCGTACGCTGGCCACACCCATGCCCAGTTTAGCAAGGGGGGGGAAGTCACGTGATGCCGCCATGACACCATGAGTTTGACACCCTTGGGTTATAGCTTTCAATATTCACATAGATAAGATGAAAGAGTGATTAAAGCCATTTTTGAAGGGATTCACATGCTGTTGGTTGAGGCCTTGTCAAATTAGGTACTTTGTTACAGTTTTCCAAATAAAGTGACTGCTAGTAGCTGTGCAGGCATCAGCATAGGCAACCTATCTAATTACAATATAAAAGTGCCAAAAAATATTAAGGGACTAAGGGACATTCCGAAATATGTGGTACCATTTTTAAATGTGACTCCCATCAATTTTTGTGGGGCCTTAAGAGAAACACATTTGATTAGAGAGATAAGATTACCCTAATAAATCAAAATAAAGTGGAAATTCAAACCTGGACATTCCAACTTCAAAACCATGACTTTTGTACATTTCATGATATCAAAGCAAAAGCTTTGAATTCAGTCTTCACAGTTGTAAGAGAATTTTACAGGTCCATTTGTTTTGCATAAAATGCTATCCATTCATGAACCTAAAACAACAGAGGTCACAATTTCTATCAGCTCTGCTCATGAAAAAAAATATATCCACGTATAATTATCAATAGCTTCTTTGAACACAAAACTGAATCACCCTAAACACAATGTCAGTTTGCCATGAAACAGGCACTATGATAAAAGTAAACTAACCTGAGATGAACTAATGATGCCTCTGCAGCTGTGAAGGAGTGGCTTCTCCAAGCAGCACTCTGATTAAGGGGAAAGAACTAACACTGAGAGTTAACAGCATCTGGATCTAGACTTTTAAGACAAAGGAGACCTCATGTGCTTCTGTCAGGAAAAGCCAAAATGAACATGAGCTTTCTGAAATTCTCTTCCTGTTTCCTAACAGACTGGAGAGAAAGTCAGATGCAACATCAAAACAGAGCTTGTGTTGATAAGAGGTTAATAGGTAGTCCTCGACTTACAACAGTTCCTTTAGTGACTGTTTGAAGTTACGACATCACTGAAAAAAGTGACTTAAGACCGTTATTCACACTTACAACTGATGCACCATCCCCATGATCATGTGATCAAAATGTGGATACTTGGCAACTGGTTCATATTTATGATGGTTGCAGTGTCCAAGGGTCATGTGATTCCCTTTTGCAACCTTCTGACAAGCAAAGTCAATGGGGAAGACAGATTCACTTAACAATTGTGTTGCTACCTTAACAACTGTAGTGATTCACTTAACAACTGGGGCAAGAAAGGTTGTAAAGTGGGGCAAATTCACTTAATAACTGTCTCACTTAGCAACATAAATTTTGGATTCAATTGTGGTCGTAAGTCAAGGACTACCTGAATGCCAGAAGGAAATATGAGACAATAAATTAATTTCAACAGAAGAATTTCTAAACGTATTTTTAAATAAAAATTATGACTATCAAATTCAAGTTAGTAATTCTTTTACCAGCTTAATGAAATATTCCATTTTTTAATTTTATTTTATTAAAATAATTTTGAAGAACAAAGGCTATACAACCTTTGGGAATTGGTCAGCTGTATTAGGATTTTTTATTTCCTTTTTTCTCCTTAGATTTAGAAGCCACCAAATCCAAACTGAGTCACAGCAATTTATGTACATAAATAAATAGTATATATAAATAATAATTTGCATTTCAAATTAAATCCCAAATGATATTTTGAGCATCTGAAATAGCACTTTAAGATTTCAAGCATCCTTTGCATAGGTTAGCAAGCCTAACAGCATTAACCTCTTACGTCATCAGAGATACCTGGGCCTAGAAATCTAGTGGAATCTGTGGATTGCATATTACTTGGATCACGATATTGTTTACAAACTTCAACAATAAGAAAGACAAGTCACCAGATTTAGAAACAAAAACATGGGAGCACATGAACTTAGGAATGCTGCTCACATTTGTGGTAAAATACCGGATTTTTTTCAAATTCAAAAATAAATGTATGCGGTGTTTGAAAAAAGCCTATCCATTGACTTGATTCCAATGGAAATATTGAACTAGAATAAATACACAGTGGAAAATGTATAGAATGTATGAAGCATTATGTAACAAGTGTAACAAATGTAACAAAAAATGTAGCAAAAACATATTTTGACCCTTAACTATACACATATATATTATACACGCAATTAATTTTCTCTTTAGCGAATGATCCATATTTATTTTTAAAAATGAAGATGAACTAGCATGTGAAATACACTCTTCTAAGATCTCTTTTATTTAAATACACAAGCATTTTAGCAGCAGGATTAACCTTGGCAATTTTCATAATATCTACAATTGCTTAAAAGTAAATTATCTGACTAACTGTAATGCATAAAGAATTAGAAACAAATTTAATTGACCTTGGTACACCAGTTATAATACCTACAGTTTTATAAACAAAATCCTATCAATTTCTGACAAGTGCAAAATGCAGTTAGTTATTAAAAAATAACTAATCACTTAGTCATTACATATTTTGGCTTCTTATTTTCTTTTCTCCTTTCACAAAGTTTTATAACAATAAAAAGCAATCTTAGACAAACACAAGTGGACTCAAAGAAACTAGTTGCTTGCCTGAATGATGCCTGTTAGATACAATAAATAAAAGACAAAAATTTCACACAATTCTCTGCTCTGAGTGTAATACTACCAGTGGATGCCCTCACAGAGTTTGGGAATTCACACTGCTTTAGAACACTTATCAGCACTACTCTGAAACTAGACTTCTCTTGATGGTTACAGGCTTCAGAATAACAACAACAACAAGTATAGAAGTTCAAGGTATATTGGTCCTTTTTTTATAGAGCTGGCACATTTTGGCACTGGCAATCGTTACACTGTAGGACTTACATTTTGAAGAGTGGGATTCTTCTAAGATTTCTTCTTGTTTTTGTGTAAACCACCATGGGCACTGGGTTTTTGTGTATTTTTGCTTGCAAGTCCTTGGGTTAAAGACTTCTCTATCTCAATTTTCTTTTCTTGATTATCTGTGCGTTTTGCAGCGAGTCTTGGAGACAATGATCCAACTCCAGCCTGAATCTTAAAAAGACAATAAAAACAAAATATGTTGAATGTAATATGAGAAGAGAATATTTAGAAACTAGTACATAGTTTCTCTCTTACTGCTGAAACAATATTTCATTGGTAAGATTTTGAAGGAGGTTACCTTAAAAAAGAACAGAAATGTAGTTATCTCTCAAAATGACTGTAAATCAGATAAACTAAAATGTGGATTAGCAACAAAATCTGCTCAGGAAAGCTATAACCTTTGACACCCTGAGTACACTGAAAGCTTCTGCACTGGAGACAAATTCCTTGTGTGTCTAACCACGCTTGGCCAAATAAACTTTTCAATTCAATTCAATCCTTCAGAGCTAGAATAGCTAAGCCACTCCTACAAGTCCTAAGACACATAATAAAGGGTGAGGTACTTTCCACCTACTGCTTTAGAGTCCTTTTTTACTCAAATGTGCTATGATATCAGTAAAAATCTTTCTGTTTCAGCATATCAACATGCCCTGATACTCTATACTGGACTTTCATCTACACTTACCTCACCTGGGGGAAAAATGAATTCATGAAAACATTCCGATTTCTGTGATAGCATTTTTCTTATCAACTCTAGTAACATACAGCATCACATATGACCCTAGGCCAGTGATGGCGAACCTATGACACGCGTGTCAGTGCTGACAC